AAATTTTGATGTTCTTCTTTTTTTTTGTATCACTTCAGGTTTTTGAGAAAACCACAAATTTGTGTTTACAAATTTTATGTTTATCATAAGCGGTTTATATCATCAGTTTATGTTTGAATAGAAGTTTAATTGAGTATTTTATTGCTGTTGTTTGTGTTTCAAATTTTAATTTTAGGAAAATTTTCACAATGCCAAGACATTGTACGAACTCAGCAAACAGTTTTTGTTATGTATATGTACAATTTTGCACAGTGGCTAAGAAAAACAAAATATCACATTCAACAAAAAATTATCATGCATACTTTGGATGTAAACTGGGAGACCAGGACAAAGCATGGGCGCCTCATGTTATTTGTAAACTTTGCGAAGTAACTCTTGGCAAGTGGTTTAAAGGTAAAGTGAAAAGTATCCAAATAAAAACAGTAGTGATGTTCTTGATCCTAAATTTAATGCAGATGTCACAACAAAATTTTTTACTCAGAAAGATCCTGATGATCTAGTTCGAGATCTTAACCTTCCAAAATCATCAGTTGAAATGCTTGCATCTCGTTTACAAAAACGAAACCTTCTCACTCTTGATACTAGCGTAATTGTGTACAAATATCGTGACAGAATTTGTACAGTTTCTTTTCAAGTAAACAAGAATTGTTTTATTTTAATATTATTAAAGGCCTTGTCACATCTACGGGTATTGCTTACAATGTTAATCAGTAGAGAATGTTTATTGACTCATCAAAGTGCAGTATGAATGCAGTCCTTCTATTTAATGGAAACAAAGTATCATCACTTCCAGTGGCACACTCGGTAATACTAAAAGAGACGTATGAAAACACAAAACTGTTGCACAGTTCGTTGAATCATGACCAGCACAAGTGGTTAATATGCGGAGGTTTAAAGGTCATAGCCAATGTATTTATTACCATACTGGCTTTGGATTTCAATATTTGTCAGACAAATTTCCACATTTAAGTGAAGCGAAATTGACTGTAGGTATCTTTGTTAAAGAAATGAATGATGAGGATTTTTCAACTAAATTTGCCACAGTTGAACTGCAAGCCTGGAATGCATTCAAAGCTGTTGTCAAAAATTTCTTAGGAAACTTTAAATCAAACAGTTACAAAAGTCTTGTTGAGAACACGGTAACCAAATTTTAGGCTTTGGGTTGCCGCATGAGTGTCAAGTTGCACTTTTTGTACTCCCACGTTGGCTATTTTCCTTAAAATTTTGGTGCATACAGTGAAGAGCAGGGTGAAAGGTTCCATCAGGATTTTTGTGCAATTGAGAGTCGATACCAAGGTCGTTGGAATGTGAATATGATGGCCGACTATTGCTGGTCAAAAAAACGCCAAAACTTGGTGCTGCTCATAAGCGAAAACCACATAAAAGACAATTCACACAGTAGAAGACAATAAGTAAATCTACATCTGCTTTTATATTATGCTTTTGTTATTAATTTTGTGAATACCAATAGTTTTCTGCTTAACCGAAATACATTTTTTTTGCTGGTTTTATTGACTGTTTTTTCAAAAGTCAATAAAACCAGCAAAAAGAATTTTTTGCAACTTGACATTAACAAATGTCAAATTGCAAAAAGTCCTGACATGATACAAAAAATTGGATTATATGTTTGGAATCAGCATAAAAAGTTGTGTAAGAAACAACTATTTGCGTATTAGCAGTTTTGACAAAATGAAAATTTGTAGATCAGGGTAATAAAAGAAATTAAAACTATGTTAAACCTATGTTATCCCAAAATAATCTTAAATCGCTTTATTTTTCTTACATCCAAAGTTATCTTACATACGCTACTATTACATGGGCAAGTACACACAAATCCAAATTGAGTGCTGTTTACATAAGTCAAAAACATGCATCAAGATTAGTTTATAATAAAGATAAACTGACCCATGCTGAACCCTTACTAAAAACCTTGAATGCATTAAATGTTTACCTAATCAACATTTACCAAAATGTTCTACTTATGCTTAAATACAAACTTGGACTAGTCCCACCGCATTTCTTAGTTAACTTCTTTCAAGTAAACTCTAATAGGTATATGACAAGAGCAACAGGCAAATTCACACTGCCCAAAAGAAAAACAAAGCTCTCACGGTTTTCTATTTCCTACCGAGGTCCGTACTTATATAACAACATCATATCCAAAAGTACAAAGCTTAAAGTATTAAATAATGCTGCCAACTTAAAAAATAAATTAAAACACCTCATACTTAATACCAACAATTATTTCGACATATTAAACTTAACATTAAAATTTATATTAAAATATTTATGTGTATCACTGACTGTATATTGTTTAACCACTTTTGCCTATATAAAAATAAAATAAACTTTATTTAACCTTTTAAAGAGGTACTAGATGATAAGTCTTTATAGACATCTACGAGTTTTCCTCTGTCACAACATGTATATATCTGAAGTACCAAAAAATTTCTTGTCTTTTTTTTTTCTTTTCTAATTTTTATTCTTTTATTTTTTAAAAATACTGGTAATTTTTATGATAAGAAACACTATTAATTTACGTTATACTTAAATATACTTGTTAAACCACTTTTTATAATGCTATGTTATACGTGGTATTACTATCTTATATTTTTACGTGGGATTATATTATGTCATGTACACTCTTAGTAAAAATAGGAGATAACTGTCCAGTCCGCACCCTAGAAAACCGCAATTCTCGGTCATTAGCTTTCACATTCCTGTGAAAGCTTATGACCATGGGATTCCAAAAATGTAAAAATTAAAATCATCTGCCTACGTCCGTGAAAGAAAAATAATTTTGAAATTTTCCTTTATTACACATATATGTAAAATGACAGCATTTTTATATTTTGCATTTTTACAGCATTCTTTAAACAAAAATATATACAATAAATAAAAAAAGATTATTCTAAAGGGATAAAAAGGTGTTCTGTTCTCACATAAAGATTTCTAATGTAAGGTCAACATAATTTATTCATAAATCTCCAATTCTATTTATTTTGTGCTCAGTGTTTTCTTCAAAGATTCATGCTGTTAAAATCAACAAGGCACATCACAAGCTTTTTTCCATATTCTGGATGACTGATTGAGCGTTTGTACCTTGCCCAATTTGTACTAAAGCAATGGTGCATTGCTTCTGTTGTTTGCTCGCTATAAATACCAAGTGACATCTTTTTCCTCAGGATAAAATCCATTATATGGAAAAACACAGCATGTGTTTTTGGTGTGACAGTTCCAATTAGCAATGCAAAGAAAGAAGCTCAAAACTCATCAATTTTTTCTTCAAACTGACTGTGCAACTTGTTGCTAAAACAGGATGATACAACATTTACAAATTTTTGAAAAGTTTCAATTATGGGAAAAACTTGAAAAGCATTGTCTTTTTCAGCCAATGTTTGCAAAAGATCCAAGTTCTTCAGCAACTTGTTGCTGGAATTTCCTTCAAATTGTCCACCAAAAAAGGGTTGATGTTGTATATGCAATGCTTGAAGCCATTCATCTACCTTTGGTCATGAATCTTTCAAAATCTTAAAAAGATGATTGACCAAGAAGTAGATGCAACTCCATTGGAGGTATTAGATCAATTACCAATGCAGAATTTTCGAGTGAAAGAACAGGCTCATGAACCACGTTTCCGAATTTCTTTGCATTTTTGGTATTTGAACCTGCTGCAGAGAACGCATGAAATGACTGCTTCAGAGAGCCAAAAGTTCTTGGAGTACCACAATTCGCAAGATTAGAACTTTTCGCTGTGCATTATGTACATGGATGAGAGAATCAATGAGCCTGCAGACTGCACAGGATGTTAGCCAATTTCATGTCACAAGACATCACAAAATTGACCTCTTGAATATAGAGAAGGGAAAAAATGACTCGATCCCCAATTTAATGACGTGGTTTGAAAAAATCTTCCGTGTCAAAAGTAAATCTTCAATAAGACTATTGAGACTCTTGCAATGTGCAACAATGTAATTTGAAGTTGTTTTGTCGGCGTTTGTAAATGTCGCTGTAGTCGGAGTAAAACTCTCTTCAAGATTTTTCCCAAGGTTTTGAAATTTTTTAACAATGTATGGCTCCAAGACTTTGGTTGTGCTTACATTGTTGATTGTTGTTGCAAGCTTTCTGATGCCATTATTGGACAACCCTGTGTTTATTTAAACCTGAGCAAGATCTTGCGCTGTTACAACTGGGTGATCCTTGAATAGCTGTTTTGCACTTGATGGTCCTAAAACATATGAAAATTAACTTTACAGCAAATATTTTACCAAAATTTACGTGTCTGAGTCTAGAGGGTGCTTTTCAGTCAATTTCAACCGGCCAATGCGACAAATCAAGCATTCACAAAGATTTCCTCTTGTGAGTGGTTTGAAAATGATAGTTTCAAAGTCAAAAAGAGCTGGTAATTCAGCAGGATGTCCTTCATAACGTTTCCTCAGAGCAGTTTTACAAGTTTCACACAGCCCTTGCGGTACTCCTACATCTTCAAAATTGATTTGATATCTGTAGACTTGTTAAATTTTTTCATGCAAAAACGTTGTGAGCTGTCTGTTTGCCTTTTTGAGACACAGGAGGCAAACAACTTTCCTGTTTTCATTATGATTCCTAGCTGAATTAGGCATTTTTTCGTTTTTTTCTTAAGAGACTCAAAAATGCAACCTTCACAGATTTAGTTTCTTTGAAAAAGTGCCCTTTCCTGAAATTTGTCAACTTAAAATTAAAAAAATTATATTGCAAAAATCTATATTTTACCTTTGTTAGAAGTTTTTTATATTAAATAAGAGTTGTAAAAATGCAATAAATAGAAATGCTGTCATTTCACATAAATGTGTAATAAGGGAAAGTTTCAAAATTCATTTTCTTTCACGGACGTAGGCAGATGATTTGAATGTTTTCATTTTTGGAATCCCATGGTCATAAGCTAAGGGCGGGGGGGGGGGAGGGGAAGGTATTAGTTAACTTGACTTGATAGTCAAATAAACTATCAAATAAGATTTAAATTAAAAACAATTTTTTATACTAAAAAAAATACCAATAGACTTATTACAAAATATTTTAAAATAGTTTCTTGTAGCGCATCAACATATTGAAACATATTTATAGTTAAACGGCAATCTTTTACTTTAATTTCAAACTGTGTTTTATTTAAAACTTCATCTAATTCGCACAAAGTATTCTCGCGCATCGTTTGTAATGACTTGTTTTTCTTAATAGTTTCGCAGTGTAACAATTCTTTCTTACTAATCTCGCTCTGTAACAATTCTTTCTTATTAATCTTGCTCTGTAACAATTCTTTCTTATTAATCTCGCTCTGTAACAATTCTTCCTTGTTATTCTCCCTCTGTATTAAGTTATTGTTCTATAAAAAGTTATAATTAATTAAATGAGTAATTAGAAAAAAAGTATTTTCAGTTATATACAAATATATGAAGAAAAGAATAAAGAAGCATTTTAAGTCACTAAAAACTACATGGTGTTTTTCCGGCAAAAAAAAGTTAAAAATAAATTACCATATCTGTTTTATTGATTATTGATGTTGAATTGTACCTTATCTCTTTAACTAATTGCAAAGTAGAATTCAATACAACATCATTAACAAAATCAGAAACAAACTCATCATCTGAATCAGAAAATGTGTACGAGGAGCTCAGGTTTATGTTTTCTATATTCAAACTCTCAACGTTTTCTATATCGTGAATAGATTCAAAATCTTTTTCTTTTTTGAATAAATCAAACGAATCTACTTGACTTAGGTATGTTATTGAATCCATGTAAATTTCATCCAAAGGTGAGTAAAAACTATCAAAACTTAGGTCGTTATCGTTTTCTGAAAAAATCTTATTATCGATGATGTCGGTTCTATATTTTTCTATAAAATTCTCTTTATCGAAGATATTGATTCACTTTCAATAAAACTCTCGTTATCTATTATGTTGTTATCAATGGTGTCAATTCCATCTCGTTGTTATCAATGGTGTCAATTTCATCGTTTTCAATAAAATTCTCAAAAATGTTTCCAAAAAAATTACTCTCAATATTCTTTTTTTTTTTTTTTTTTTTTTTTTTTTTACCACGAGGAAAAATTTTCCAAAAGTTTATTTACTTAATTTTCTTTTTCTTTTCCTGTTGAAATATATTCTGAGTTCTTTACTCCGCTGCGTAACGACTTCATAACTTCTTGCGCATCGGATGCCACGTATTTAAACTTTTTACTTTCTTCCATTTGATAAACTTTGTTTCTTAGAAACATTATCAACAGCTTATTCTTTTGAAATGTTTTTTTAAAATTATGTTTTGTTCTGCTCTCTTCCAAACAATAAATAAAATATTATTGTAGGTTTTAATTTAAAATTTTTAAAGCTGAAAATATTTAACATAAAGAGTATTTAAAATATTATGTTAAACATTTTATCTTTTAATGATTGATTTTCTTTGGTTGATCTTTACGAAAAAACTTGGATTGAAATATTTTAATCATTTTTTACAAAAAGTTATTTAACTTTAAGACCAATATTAACTTTAAGACCAATAAGTCACAAAAATGTAAATTTTTAAATCTTTATTTTGTTTCAAAAAGTAGTTCGAACATAAATGATGTCAAATTACTTTGAAAAAAAGCGAATAATAACTTTTTTAAATGCAAAGTTGAATAATTTTATCCTGTCATCTGTTCACGTGACCGGATGACAAGATGACTTAGTAATTCTTTTTTTGTTTCAAACTTTATAAAATTGTAAAAACTACCAACGACTTTAAATAAAGTAAAACAACGCGCCGCAAAAAATAAAAAAAAAAGCATCATTAAAAATGTTATCCAAGACACCATCAAACTTTTATTATTATTATTATTATTATTATTATTATTGTTATTATTATTGTTATTATTATTATTATTGCTATCATTATTATTACTATTATTTTTAATATTATTATCATTACTTTTTTTTTTGAAAAAAAAAAAATAATAAAGTAATAATAATTTATTCATATAAAATTTCATTGCAGTTTTTTTTTTCTAACCGTTTAAATTTTTTTGTCATATAAAACTTTTTATATGAAAATCCATCCATGTGTCTCATTCGCCTTCTCGCTTGGTTTCCTCAACATATGTATGTATATTTACATTGGAAGGTATTTTGATGCGTTTTTATTAAGGCTTTAAAATAATTCTGAATGTTTACTGTATAATTTAAAAACACTGAATTAAAGATTTTTTTTTTTAACAAAAATCATTTTTTTAATCAAACTACAGGGTTCCTAATAGATCTCTCTAAGATAATTAATGCAGTTGAAAAAAAATTATCAAAGCTTATTTTGTATGGTATATATATAAGTTGATCAAATAAGTGAATAAAAAGCTATTTAGATTTTCTTTTTTTTCCTACATTAAAAACAGATGTGCGTAGAAATGAATAATAAAATCAAAAAAGTTCCGAATGTTTTAACAAACTCTCATAAATAAAAACTTCATTCTTTCTTTAAAGAAAAAGTTTAATCATATTTCTCGAAAATGTTTATTGAAAATGAAGAAATAAATAGGGATAATGTTATTAAATTTGTGGGTGTTTTTATTGACGAAAAATTGAAATAAACATACCACACATTTAGTTAGTAAAATATCCAAAAGTAATATAGTATGGGGTAGTGCCTAAAAAGAATTAAAAATTACTTATCGTGCTACCTATATGAGGTGCAGATAAGCGCATATCTGGAATAACCAAGGCCTCCCCCCCCCTCCACTTTTTTTCTAAAGTATTTTTTGTTTTTTTGTTTTTTTTTGTTTTTTTTCTTTCTATTTTTAAAGAAAAAATCTTGATATAGAGGACTTTTTTTCAAAAATTAATGATTGTGCCCCCCCCCCCTACTCCAAAACCCGTGTCGTCGGCCCTAATAACCCTAGCTAATCTAAAATTATTGATTTTAAAAATTTAAACTGTTTTAAAAATAATAACAAAAAGAAAATTTCAAGTAAAAAAATTTTTATTACCGATTAGGTATGGAAATCCTGACATCCTAAAATTCTGGGATCCCATACAAATTGTTTGTCCCTAAATCCTGGGATTAGTTTCCAAAATTTCCCAGGATTTCGGGATTGTCATAGAAAAAAGTCAAAGTATAAAAAGTTTAAGCTTAATTTGTAATTAAAAAAATTTGTTCATCATAAAATGTAAATATAGGCTTTGGAATAGCGGCTGTTTGGTTTTGCAGCTGTTTATTATCTTTTTTTCTTTTTCTGTATTTTGTCAAAAATACAAACTAAAAACGTTTTTGCTTTACGAATAAAGAAATAAAAAATGTATATGTTACGCACAGATCGTGAAACCACGCATTTCACGAACTGTGCAGTTTTTTGCTCATTTCGTGAGCAGATTGTGAAATGTTAAACTTTTATTGTTTGTTTTTTAGTATATACTCTGCGTAATAAATATTATTTATAATAAAAATATGTTTTTTTAATTACTACCTGCCCAACCCAAACCCTAAGTCGATGTAGCAGCACTCCTTTGCGAGTCAGGCTATAAGATAGTCAACGTAGCAGCACTCCTTTAATTCGCAATTTCTTATTTAAGTCAATAATAATATTTATTATACATAGCATAATTAAATATTTAAAAATATACCTGTAAAAATTCAACATTTCACAAACTGTGCAACAGCGCTATCCAGTTCATGAAATGTGCAAAAAATTGCCCAGTTCGTGAAATGCGCGATTTCACGATCTGTACGTAACATACATATATAAAATCGATTATAATTTAAATACTTTTATTTTAGTTAACAAAAATAGTAAGTCTGTCCGCCAAACAAAAATTTTACCTTTAGAAAATAATTATAAATTGTCGGAACCTATATTTGAAACAAAAAATCATGAAGTAAAACTATTGCCGGTAATAGAATATTTCGTAAATTTGAGGTTTTTATAGGCGGTGAAAGCAACCAAATTAACGAAGAACAGCTTAAACTGCATATGGAAACTGAGCTAGGCATTACTTCTATATCTATTACTTTAAATAGAGAAAACGAACACAATAGGTCATATAGAGTCTCTGTATATAATTCAGAAAAAGGAAAAATATTTAACCTGTCTATTAGGTATAATAATATAATTATTAAACCGTTCCGGAAAAAGCGTATATACTCCATCGATGACCAACATTTTAAAACTAACGCAGACCGTAGAAAATTATATTAATCAAAATGGCTTCAAACAATATATTAAAGAAAGAAAATAGTGCAAAACCGTTTAGTATGTGTACTTTTAATTGTCAGGGACTTTAATCAAATATTCAATATACTGAGACCTTAATAACTTCACATGATATAACGTTTCTATGCAAACACTGGGTATCAAAACTCAAATATTCTATAATCAAAAATATTTGTAAAAACTTCCACTCATTACTTTTCAGCCAGGCAAATAAACACGAACAGGGTCGACCTTTTGGTGGAAATGCATTTTTTATTCGAAAAAATAAATTTCAAAATATCATACCTCTGTACGAAGATAATAATATATTTGCAATAAAGTTACAAAAAAATAAAAATAATATCATTGTAATCGGCATATATCTAACCTCATCACAAAACGATCAGTCGTCATTGGAGAAATACACAAGTCAATTAGACATACTAAAAGGAATTATGAATAGTCATGCGGACACTGGTGAGATAATTATACTCGGAGATTTCCAATCGTTTCCATACGGAATATACAATCTACTAGAAAGATCTAGCCCCAATAGAATCAATTTTTCTAAGATTTTATCGGAATTTATTGATGCGAATAAATTAGAACTAGTCGACGTAACTAAAAGTTCTGGTCCTGCAATCACGTATCGACATCTCACATTGCCAAACTCTTCTTGCATTAATCATATAGCTATATCAAAGTATACATCTCTTCTCTTTTATAAATGCATTGTTATTTCTCCTTTCTTTCAAAATGTCAGCGATCATTAACCAATATCGATTTCATTTGGAATTGAAGGTTAACATCATCAAGAAAATGTATCATCATCAGCTCTTAGAGAACACCTAAAGTTAAAGAAACGATCTATACATTCAAAATCTTGGTGGACTCCTGAATTAACTCAAAGTAAAAAAGTTCTTTCCTTTCATTTTCAAAAATGGAGTGAAGTGGGATTCGTAAAAGATAATATTTCTTCTATCTTTAATCGCTATCTATTTGCTCGGAAGAATTTCCGCAAAGCCGTCAAAGCAGCCCAAAACTATAGGCTATATCAACAATACATAAAAATTGAAAAACTTAAAAAATCTAACCCAAAAATTTCTGGAATACTTTTAGAAGTATGAAAAAGGAATAAAATTCAAAACTTTTTACTATAAATAATAAAAAAGATAAAGAATCCATCACCACAGAGTTTGCTACTATTTTTGGAAAACGATTAAACACTGACAGAATAACTGATCGAGTTACTAATCTTCGAATTCCACCTTGCAAAAATCCTGATGAGATTTTAATTACTGATGAAAATATTAAAACAGCTATTTATGTCTAAAATCAAATAAGTGCAAGAATTATTACAATATCTCTGCAGAACATTTAAAACATCCCCAATGTGAAGCACTAACACAATAGTTAAGAAAGTTATTTCACTTTTCAATTAATCAAGGATGGACCCCTACATCAATGTCAACATCAACTATCATACCTTCAGTTTACTCCTATCCAAACAATCACCGCGGTATCAGCATTATTCCAATATTTACTAAACTCTTAGAATACTTTATCTTACTCATATGCCCGTAGATAAAAGAAACTCATCAACTTCAATTTGGTTTTAATAATAAGAGCTCAACCCTCCATGCTGAATTTGTTGTAAGCGAAACAATTAAGCATTATAATCGGAACAATTCGCCTGTTTATTTATGTTCACTAGATGCTGAAAAGGCTTTTGACAGCTGCAACTGGGATGTTCTTTTTAATAAACTTTGTTTTTATAAAAATCTACCTCTCCAAATAGTTAACACTATATCTTTTTTATATCGTAGCGGCAGTGCAACTGTCTCATACCTAGGTTGCAAATCAGTCTCATTTGATCGTAGGCAAGGAGTAAGACTGACTGTCTCATACCTAGGTTGCAAATCAGTCTCATTTGATCGTAAGCAAGGAGTGAGACAAGGATCGATTCTCTCACCCTACCTATATAACATATGCACTGAGAAGCTACTCGAAACTATAAAAAATGATGAAATTGTTGGTACTACTATATATGGAAACTTGACTTGTGTTGTAGCTTATGCTGACGACATCATTCTTCTCAGCGGGCCCAACTCTCTCGGGCCTAAAAAAACTTATTTCAACGTGTAACATATACAACAATTTAAACGGGATAAAACTTAATGCTTTCAAATTGGCAATTTTGCTGTCTGGAAAAAGACAAATAACGAATTGCACAATATCTCTAGACAACCATCAAATCATACTTCGTGAGAAATTTAATCATCTCGGCTTTACTTGGGATAAAAAAAATCAATTTTTAGCTTCACTAAATAGAATGAATATTGATAGTAGGGTATCAAATTTTCGGGCAACAGTGCAAACTCTTATTCAATCTGGAATCCGGTTTGCACATCCAATTATATAAATCAAAAGCAGTTCCGACGTTAACCCA